TCCATGTTATTTTGCTTTTCTAGTCACCATCTATGGGAAGAAGGCCTCCTCCAGACACCGTTGCTGAAACAGACAATTCCTCTAATGACCTGAATGGTGAGGTTTCAGCTGAACCAAGAGCTTCTTTAACTTCTGCACAAAGGCTTGCTGTCTCTACTACATCATCTGGTGAAGTAGCTCCTGAAACGTTTGGAGTCGAAGCCAAACATTTTACAGAGATTCGTGTTCTGAATAGAGATGTAAGTCATCTGATGCTGATTGGTATTTTGTGGTTTCAATTGGTCTGATTCTGGATGAATTCACAGGTCCGGATTGTCCTGGAAGGAGTAGACAAATTTAGCAATTTGATTGGGTCAGTGTACTACTCTGATGGGGAAACAGCGAAAGATCTGGCACTGGAGCTGGTAGAAAATGTAAGTCGTTTGTATTTTTTTCTGTTGGTACATCTTAACAGTACTCATTTGCATGATTGTGACTGGATATTCTCATGGTGATGTTTAGTTTATTTATTTTGTTCCATGCTTAGCTAATTGCTTGGTTTTTTTTTTTTTCCGTTTTTTCTTGTGCTTAGATCCTTATGATCCAGAGTAGTATGATATTTCAGTCTACAGTTCTTGTGTTACTTTCTTATGCATTTATATATTTCTTTTCCTAGTTGAGATTTATACTTGGAGTCTTTTGACTTTTTTTTTTTTTTTTTTTAATCCCAGCTACTGCATTGTTCTCTTAATCATTTTTTTAATCAATTTCTTTTGAATGAGATATGTGATATTATAAAAATATTCAAAGGAATACCTCATGCCCCCCCCCCCCTCTAATTAAATCCAGGGTTTAGCTAAATATGTTGAGTGGAGTGCAAACATGATGGAAGAAGATGCTAAGCGACGGCTGAAGGCTGCAGAGCTACAGGCGAAGAAAACCCGGCTAAGATTATGGGCTAACTATGTACCTCCACCAACGAATTCAAAGGCAATTCATGATCAGAATTTCATGGGGAAGGTAATTATATGTCAACTAGTCTATAATATTGATAGACTTAATTAAGGTTTTTTTTCCTTATTTTATATCATCTTATCTTGGCATTTTGCAGGTGGTAGAAGTTGTAAGCGGTGACTGCATTATTGTGGCTGATGACTCGGTTCCATATGGTAGTCCATTGGCAGAGAGACGTGTCAACCTATCAAGTATTAGGTGTCCAAAAATGGGCAATCCCCGTAGGGATGAGAAGCCTGCTCCTTATGCCCGTGAAGCAAAAGAGTTCTTAAGAACACGCCTCATTGGTCGACAAGTATGGTATTAATTACTAGTCTGTTTCTGATGATTCTGGGGTGAATTGTAATTTGAGATCACAATTCTCTTTTTAGGTTAAAGTCCAAATGGAGTATTCTAGGAAGGTCAGCATGGTGGAGGGACCTGCAACTGCTCCAGATTCTAGAGTGATGGATTTTGGATCTGTCTTTCTGTTGTCTTCTACTAAGGCTGAGGATGAGGACACTTCTGCTCAAGACAGTAGTGGCCAACAAGCTGGGGTGAATGTGGCTGAGCTAGTGGTATCACGTGGTTTTGGCACTGTGATTAGGCATCGTGATTTTGAGGAGAGATCGAACTATTATGATGCACTTCTTGCGGCTGAATCGCGTTCTATTGCTGGAAAGAAAGGGATTCATTCTGCCAAGGATCCTCCTGTCATGCATGTGACAGACCTTCTGACAGTATGAAACTTGACGATCTACCATGCTAAATTTCTTCTATCCTTTTATCAATTTTAACAATGACAACTTTTTACCTTATTGAATGAATTCAAAGTATCATGTGTGTGTTTGCAGGCACCAGCCAAAAAATCCCGAGACTTTTTACCATTCCTACACCGGAGTAGGAGGATTCCAGCTGTTGTTGAATATGTTCTCAGTGGTCACCGTTTCAAATTGTTGATTCCAAAGGAGACGTGTAGCATTGCTTTCGCTTTCTCAGGTGTGAGATGTCCTGGTCGTGATGAACCATATTCAGATGAAGCAATTGCCATAATGCGGCGGAAGATAATGCAGAGAGATGTGGAGGTATTTTCCCTTTCCAATATTTTTGTAGATTCTTTCAATGCCATTGATCTAAAAGGGTTCATTTGCATAGATTGAAGTGGAAACTGTTGATAGAACGGGAACCTTTTTGGGGTCCCTATGGGAAGCGAGGACCAATATGGCAGTGGTTCTAGTTGAGGCTGGCTTGGCAAAGATTCAAACTTCCTTTACCAGTGATAGAATGCCTGATGCTCACCTTCTTGAACAAGCAGAACGATCTGCTAAGCGTCAGAAGCTCAAGGTTAGACGTTGACAAAGGTGAATGAGTCATGTCTATATAAGATCATGCTGATTTGAGTTTTTGCAGATCTGGGAGAACTATGTTGAAGGGGAGGAAGTGCCCAATGGTGCAGCTGTTGAAAGCAAACAGAAAGAAGTGCTTAAGGTATGCACCTTGGATGTGGTGGATGTTTCTGAGAAACCGTTTTCTTTTTGCTGTTGCTTCTCACCTATTCTATTGCTTCGCTCAGGTAATTGTCACTGAGGTGTTGGGTGGTGGCAAATTTTATGTCCAGACAATTGGGGACCAAAAGGTCACTTCTCTGCAGAAACAGCTTGCGGCTTTGAATCTTCAAGAAGTCCCTTTAATTGGTGCTTTTAGTCCTAAGAAAGGTGATATCGTCCTTGCTCAATTTAGTGCAGACAACTCGTGGAACAGGGCAATGGTGAGTGTTTGGAAGAAGCTTTCTTTTACATTCAATATGAACTTTCTGTACATTCATTTTTTCTGCAAGGTAGTCCTATGGAATGATAGCTATACACATTGAGTAATATGATTACCAAACAATTCATTTATAGACTAAGATCAAAACATAATGTGTGCTCATTTATCCAAGACACCAAATAACCCACTAGTATCTTAGCTATAAAAAAATTTCGGGTCACTTGGTTTTATAGTTGGGCAGAATTCTGAGTATAAAAGAATCAGCTCGCAAGTGTACTGCATTGGTGATGATTTACAGCTTCGCCTTTTGGGGTTTTTGTACCAATTATTTAAATGTCATATTCGTGGTTTACTTTGATGAAGAAAAACAATGTGTTCTATAGAATTGGACGGCAAGACTTTAGTTGCTGACTTTTGCAGCATACTGTTTTCTCTCTAGTGTCCCAAGAGGTTTAGGAAATGCAAGGGCTTCGCTGACTGATCTCTGGGATGCTAGGAAGGTTACCTATAGAAGATCGTTATCCTGTGTTTGCCTAGTTAGGGTCTATATTTATGAGTGGTTTTAGTGTGTTTTTAGCTGAAGGGATTTAATTATAATTACTTTTGTAAATTGTTTAATTGTTCATCATTTCAAACGGTTTCATTTTTTAGAGTTGATATTAATTTAATAAAAAATGTTTTTTAAGAAAATAATGTTTGTTCTCAATAGTGATTCTAACAAAAATTATTAGGGAAAAAAAGGTTGGAGATAAGAATACAGGTGAAGTTTTAGAGGGAAGGAAGGGACTATTTGAGGAAGGAAAAAAAAGGAAATAAGGGACGAAAAGTAGATAACGACAGAGAATTAGGGAGAATTTTTTAGGGTTAAAATTGAAAGGGAGGAATGAACTTGGGGTAGAGAGGGACAAAAAATTTGGAGAGGATATAAGAAAAACTAGATATAAGTTTTAGCTAGAGAATAAAGTTAGAAAGAAGGGACGAATTTTGGATAGAGAAAAAAAACTTGATAAAAAAAGCATCTTCCTCCGTGGCCAAACGTCACCATTTTAAAATTGAAGAAGCAATCTTGAAGAGATTTTGGCGATGACAGACATAGTGCTAAATCACTTCCAGACATGTCAATTACTAATTAGACCATGAACAAGTGTGCTAATTTTCCAGTTAGATTGGACTTCAATTTGCAGTCTGCAGCAATGTTCAGTACTGCTACTTCTAGTTCTATTTGTATAAAGTCCGTTGAATTGAATCAGTTCTCTATGGCTATATTATATTATCACAGGCGACAATTTCTTTTAGAGTCCTGACTCCGGTCTGCTTTGTTCTTAACTTGTTTGTCATAGATTATCAATACACCTCGAGGGGCTGCTGAATCCCTGAAAGATATGTTCGAAGTGTTCTATATAGATTTTGGAAATCAAGAGGCTGTACCTTATGGTCGACTACGTCCCGTTGATCCTTCTATGTCTTCTGCCCCTGGTCTCGCTCAGCTGTGTAGTCTTGCTCACATCAAGGTTCCTAGTCTGGATGAGGATTTTGGTCAGGAAGCAGCTGAGTATCTGAGTGATTACATGCTTAATGGTGCAACGGAATTTGTGGCCACAATTGAAGAAAAGGATACTTCTGGGGGAAAAGTTAAAGGACAGGGAACTGGGAATATTCTTATTGTCACTCTTGTTGCTGTTGGATCGGAGCATAGTTTAAATGCGTTGATGCTTCAGGTTCGAATAATGTCCCTGTTTCCCAATTTAATTTCCTCTGTTATATTTCTCGCTTCAATAGTCTGTCATAATTCTTGCGATTTCATCTTCATTATCTGGATCAACAACCCTGATTGCAGTCAAAGTAGAAAATACTAGAACGGCGGGGTAATTGGGAGAAGATAATTAGAGATGCAATGTATATATATGCTATTCATCAGTTCTTTTGTTTAGAGAATAATTGTTCACCAAGCATACAGAATATTAGGGATATTAGAAATGAGCTGAAAATATTCTCAGGATTGTAATCCTAATATGTTTGTTATTTGGTTAGAACGAGAATTTATTGAAGATGTGTGGCCCAGATTGCTAATACTTTTTTCTGCCATGGATTTTCAGGAAGGACTTGCTAGACTAGAGAAAAGGAAGAAGTGGGAATCCANTTTTTTTTTTTTTTTTTTTTAATCCCAGCTACTGCATTGTTCTCTTAATCATTTTTTTAATCAATTTCTTTTGAATGAGATATGTGATATTATAAAAATATTCAAAGGAATACCTCATGCCCCCCCCCCCCTCTAATTAAATCCAGGGTTTAGCTAAATATGTTGAGTGGAGTGCAAACATGATGGAAGAAGATGCTAAGCGACGGCTGAAGGCTGCAGAGCTACAGGCGAAGAAAACCCGGCTAAGATTATGGGCTAACTATGTACCTCCACCAACGAATTCAAAGGCAATTCATGATCAGAATTTCATGGGGAAGGTAATTATATGTCAACTAGTCTATAATATTGATAGACTTAATTAAGGTTTTTTTTCCTTATTTTATATCATCTTATCTTGGCATTTTGCAGGTGGTAGAAGTTGTAAGCGGTGACTGCATTATTGTGGCTGATGACTCGGTTCCATATGGTAGTCCATTGGCAGAGAGACGTGTCAACCTATCAAGTATTAGGTGTCCAAAAATGGGCAATCCCCGTAGGGATGAGAAGCCTGCTCCTTATGCCCGTGAAGCAAAAGAGTTCTTAAGAACACGCCTCATTGGTCGACAAGTATGGTATTAATTACTAGTCTGTTTCTGATGATTCTGGGGTGAATTGTAATTTGAGATCACAATTCTCTTTTTAGGTTAAAGTCCAAATGGAGTATTCTAGGAAGGTCAGCATGGTGGAGGGACCTGCAACTGCTCCAGATTCTAGAGTGATGGATTTTGGATCTGTCTTTCTGTTGTCTTCTACTAAGGCTGAGGATGAGGACACTTCTGCTCAAGACAGTAGTGGCCAACAAGCTGGGGTGAATGTGGCTGAGCTAGTGGTATCACGTGGTTTTGGCACTGTGATTAGGCATCGTGATTTTGAGGAGAGATCGAACTATTATGATGCACTTCTTGCGGCTGAATCGCGTTCTATTGCTGGAAAGAAAGGGATTCATTCTGCCAAGGATCCTCCTGTCATGCATGTGACAGACCTTCTGACAGTATGAAACTTGACGATCTACCATGCTAAATTTCTTCTATCCTTTTATCAATTTTAACAATGACAACTTTTTACCTTATTGAATGAATTCAAAGTATCATGTGTGTGTTTGCAGGCACCAGCCAAAAAATCCCGAGACTTTTTACCATTCCTACACCGGAGTAGGAGGATTCCAGCTGTTGTTGAATATGTTCTCAGTGGTCACCGTTTCAAATTGTTGATTCCAAAGGAGACGTGTAGCATTGCTTTCGCTTTCTCAGGTGTGAGATGTCCTGGTCGTGATGAACCATATTCAGATGAAGCAATTGCCATAATGCGGCGGAAGATAATGCAGAGAGATGTGGAGGTATTTTCCCTTTCCAATATTTTTGTAGATTCTTTCAATGCCATTGATCTAAAAGGGTTCATTTGCATAGATTGAAGTGGAAACTGTTGATAGAACGGGAACCTTTTTGGGGTCCCTATGGGAAGCGAGGACCAATATGGCAGTGGTTCTAGTTGAGGCTGGCTTGGCAAAGATTCAAACTTCCTTTACCAGTGATAGAATGCCTGATGCTCACCTTCTTGAACAAGCAGAACGATCTGCTAAGCGTCAGAAGCTCAAGGTTAGACGTTGACAAAGGTGAATGAGTCATGTCTATATAAGATCATGCTGATTTGAGTTTTTGCAGATCTGGGAGAACTATGTTGAAGGGGAGGAAGTGCCCAATGGTGCAGCTGTTGAAAGCAAACAGAAAGAAGTGCTTAAGGTATGCACCTTGGATGTGGTGGATGTTTCTGAGAAACCGTTTTCTTTTTGCTGTTGCTTCTCACCTATTCTATTGCTTCGCTCAGGTAATTGTCACTGAGGTGTTGGGTGGTGGCAAATTTTATGTCCAGACAATTGGGGACCAAAAGGTCACTTCTCTGCAGAAACAGCTTGCGGCTTTGAATCTTCAAGAAGTCCCTTTAATTGGTGCTTTTAGTCCTAAGAAAGGTGATATCGTCCTTGCTCAATTTAGTGCAGACAACTCGTGGAACAGGGCAATGGTGAGTGTTTGGAAGAAGCTTTCTTTTACATTCAATATGAACTTTCTGTACATTCATTTTTTCTGCAAGGTAGTCCTATGGAATGATAGCTATACACATTGAGTAATATGATTACCAAACAATTCATTTATAGACTAAGATCAAAACATAATGTGTGCTCATTTATCCAAGACACCAAATAACCCACTAGTATCTTAGCTATAAAAAAATTTCGGGTCACTTGGTTTTATAGTTGGGCAGAATTCTGAGTATAAAAGAATCAGCTCGCAAGTGTACTGCATTGGTGATGATTTACAGCTTCGCCTTTTGGGGTTTTTGTACCAATTATTTAAATGTCATATTCGTGGTTTACTTTGATGAAGAAAAACAATGTGTTCTATAGAATTGGACGGCAAGACTTTAGTTGCTGACTTTTGCAGCATACTGTTTTCTCTCTAGTGTCCCAAGAGGTTTAGGAAATGCAAGGGCTTCGCTGACTGATCTCTGGGATGCTAGGAAGGTTACCTATAGAAGATCGTTATCCTGTGTTTGCCTAGTTAGGGTCTATATTTATGAGTGGTTTTAGTGTGTTTTTAGCTGAAGGGATTTAATTATAATTACTTCTGTAAATTGTTTAATTGTTCATCATTTCAAACGGTTTCATTTTTTAGAGTTGATATTAATTTAATAAAAAATGTTTTTTAAGAAAATAATGTTTGTTCTCAATAGTGATTCTAACAAAAATTATTAGGGAAAAAAAGGTTGGAGATAAGAATACAGGTGAAGTTTTAGAGGGAAGGAAGGGACTATTTGAGGAAGGAAAAAAAAGGAAATAAGGGACGAAAAGTAGATAACGACAGAGAATTAGGGAGAATTTTTTAGGGTTAAAATTGAAAGGGAGGAATGAACTTGGGGTAGGACAAAAAATTTGGAGAGGATATAAGAAAAACTAGATATAAGTTTTAGCTAGAGAATAAAGTTAGAAAGAAGGGACGAATTTTGGATAGAGAAAAAAAACTTGATAAAAAAAGCATCTTCCTCCGTGGCCAAACGTCACCATTTTAAAATTGAAGAAGCAATCTTGAAGAGATTTTGGCGATGACAGACATAGTGCTAAATCACTTCCAGACATGTCAATTACTAATTAGACCATGAACAAGTGTGCTAATTTTCCAGTTAGATTGGACTTCAATTTGCAGTCTGCAGCAATGTTCAGTACTGCTACTTCTAGTTCTATTTGTATAAAGTCCGTTGAATTGAATCAGTTCTCTATGGCTATATTATATTATCACAGGCGACAATTTCTTTTAGAGTCCTGACTCCGGTCTGCTTTGTTCTTAACTTGTTTGTCATAGATTATCAATACACCTCGAGGGGCTGCTGAATCCCTGAAAGATATGTTCGAAGTGTTCTATATAGATTTTGGAAATCAAGAGGCTGTACCTTATGGTCGACTACGTCCCGTTGATCCTTCTATGTCTTCTGCCCCTGGTCTCGCTCAGCTGTGTAGTCTTGCTCACATCAAGGTTCCTAGTCTGGATGAGGATTTTGGTCAGGAAGCAGCTGAGTATCTGAGTGATTACATGCTTAATGGTGCAACGGAATTTGTGGCCACAATTGAAGAAAAGGATACTTCTGGGGGAAAAGTTAAAGGACAGGGAACTGGGAATATTCTTATTGTCACTCTTGTTGCTGTTGGATCGGAGCATAGTTTAAATGCGTTGATGCTTCAGGTTCGAATAATGTCCCTGTTTCCCAATTTAATTTCCTCTGTTATATTTCTCGCTTCAATAGTCTGTCATAATTCTTGCGATTTCATCTTCATTATCTGGATCAACAACCCTGATTGCAGTCAAAGTAGAAAATACTAGAACGGCGGGGTAATTGGGAGAAGATAATTAGAGATGCAATGTATATATATGCTATTCATCAGTTCTTTTGTTTAGAGAATAATTGTTCACCAAGCATACAGAATATTAGGGATATTAGAAATGAGCTGAAAATATTCTCAGGATTGTAATCCTAATATGTTTGTTATTTGGTTAGAACGAGAATTTATTGAAGATGTGTGGCCCAGATTGCTAATACTTTTTTCTGCCATGGATTTTCAGGAAGGACTTGCTAGACTAGAGAAAAGGAAGAAGTGGGAATCCAAGGAAAGACAAATTGCATTTGGAAGTTTAGAAGGATACCAAGAGGAAGCACGGACAGATCGACGAGGAATGTGGCAATACGGAGACATTCAGTCTGATGAAGAGGACGCCGGTCCTGTGAGAAAACCCGGTGGCCGGCGTTGAACGAACACTTTTATGCCCCCTTCGTCTTAAATTAAGAGATAGACAACTCAACTAGTCGAAGCTTAATTAATGCTACAGTGATAATCACGTTTTCAGTACGAGAACCCAAAGTGTTGCTGCGTAAAGACCATGTGAAGTTTTGTCCTTTGCTAATTTTTATTTTTTATTTTGTTTTTATTTTTACATCGGATAATGAGAATTTTAAAAAAATAAAAATAGCAAATCGAGACCTTACAATAAGGCAAGAGACTTATTTATATTTATATTTTGTTTTGTCTATTACGTCCCCCTGCTTCATTTTGTTTATTCTCCCTCCATATATTCCACCGCCACTATGGTGATCCCCTGTAGGAGCCGGTACTCTCAAATTGCAATATAGATCATTGAATTTGAGAGCCGTCTCAAGTTCGATTTCATGGGGTCCCCCTTGCATATAAATTCCTCATCTCGCTCATTCTGCCCCATCGCCTTTCCTCGGAAGAAAATTGTTTTAGGTGTTGAGATGGCATCATCATCAGCTGGGGCTGGGGTGGCCACAGGATGGTATTTCCTTCTTGTACACTTGTATAGTCTCGATCATTTGTCTTTCGAGTTCTCTTTCACCATTTGGTGCTTTCAAAGTCTTCTTCATGTGTGCAGTGACTTGTTTGTGTGCAGGACGGCTTGTATTTGGGCGTTGGAGCAAGGTTAGTACTTATAAACTGGCAGTCACTACCACGAAGGCTTGTTATAGTATATTCTTCGTCATTAATTAATATCCTTGATGAGTTTCTGAAGCAAGCGATCGAGTGGGGCTGTTCAAAACCAGCTTTAGTTTAATGAGGAAAAATATAATTTGATGTGAGTGGTATGAATGGTTATTTCTTATGGCTTTTAGATATTTTCCTTTCTACTCTGTTTCAATTTCATGGGGCTTCATCTGTACTGTCGAGGTTTACTTGCTTCCAGAGTTTCAGTTTGTTCAGGTGTTCATTGCTGGAATCCAGCGTGTGTTCTGAATAGAGATGCTGTCATGTGATGCTGATTGGTATTTTGTGGTTTCTATTGGTCTGATTCAGGACGGATGGATGGGAGTAGACAAATTGGTCTGATTCAGGATGGATGGATGGAAGGAGTAGACAAATTTAGTAATTTGATTGGCACATAGGTTGGGTTAAAATACGAAACATAAACACTTTCATTTTTGGGTCATTTTGGAGTCAAATTACCCCTTTTAGACTAGGTCGTTAACTTGTGCACTTAAATTATTATGTGGAAAAACTAAGTTTCTATCAATATTTTTGAACGAAATGGTACGAAATCAAATTTGATGAACTTGATATTTAGTTAAAATACGAAACTTAAACACTAGGTGTACCATTGTACTTTTTTCCTCCTTAAAACAAGGGTCATTAAAATCTTCAGAAAAGTTATTTGCTCATTTTAGTATTTTACAAAATCCATTGAACATTGATCTAAGCGTAAAATAAGTTTGAGAAAAAAAAGCATGTACTCAAGTCTACGAGACCTAACAACCTTAACCATCTTGAGAAGACCTCAATGGAGATAGTTACCTACTCATGTGAAAAAATTAAGTTTCTTTTGATATTTTAAAAAACATTCAAAGTTGATGCATTTGATACATACGTTTAGTAAAATTTTCGAGTCATCTTCCACATGTGTACCATTGCTCCTCTTTGAGAAGTGGATCATTAAATCGTTCAAAAAAGTTATTCTCATTTTAGTATCATACAAAATCCATTAAAGATTGTTATACGCATAAAATAAGGAAAAATTCTACCCGTACAATAAAGAAAAAAAAACATGTACTTAGGTCTATACGACCTAACAACTTAAACCCTCTCGAGAAGACCCTAATGGAGACACTTAATTACTTAGGTGAAAAAATTAAGTTTCTTTAAATATTTTTCAATAAAACTCTAAGGAACGTTCAAATATGATGCATTTGTCACATACATTTAGTAAAAAGAACCAAACTTAAACACTTTCATGTACTCACATACATCGAGTTATTTTCCAAAGGTGTACCATTGCACTTTTTTTCCAATTTAAAACAAGGGTCATTAACTCATTCAGAAAAGTTAGAAAAGTTATTGTCATTTTAGTATAATAGCAAATCCAATAACAAATCCAATAAAGATTGTTCTAAACATACAATAAGAAAGAAAAAAAAAGCATGTACTCACGTCTAGAAGAATGGAGACATACTTATGTGAAAAAACAAAGTTTCTTTCAATATTTTTCAAAGAAGAAACATTCAAATTTGATTCATCTGACACATACATTTAGTAAAAAAACCGAACTTAAATACCTTTATTTTCAAGTCATTTTCCATACGTGTACCACTGCATTTTTCTCTCTCTTTGAGACAAGAATCATTAACTCATTTATGTTTTCTCATTTTAGTATCATATCAAATCCACTAAAGATTCTTCCAAGCGTAAAATAAGGAAGAAAACAAGCATGTACTCAAGTCTATAAGACCTCACAACCTTAACCATCTTGAGAAGACTATAATGGAGACACTTCATTACTTATGTAAAAATACTAAGTTTCTTTCAATATTTTTACGGAACTCTAAGAAACATTCAAATTTGATGCATTTGTCACACACATTCACATTAAGTAAAAAGAACCAAACTTTTTTGTGTCAAATGAATGTGACAAATGTATGTGTCAAATGCATCAAATTTGAACGTTCCTCATATTGAAAGATTAGGGTTTAGGGTTAGTTTAGGGTTTAGGGTTAGTTTAGGGTTTTAGGGTTTAAGGGTTTGAGGGTTTGGAGTTTAGTGTTGTTAGGGTTTAGGGTTTAGAGGTTCTTTTGGTTTTTATGGTTTAGGGTTTAGTTTCTTCACATAAGTAAACAAGTATCTCCATTATAGTCTTTTAGAAACAAGTATCTCCATTATAGTCTTTTAGAGAGGGTTAAGATTGTGAGGTCTTTGAGTCCATGCTTTTTTTTTTCTTCCTCATTTTAAGCTCAGAACAACTTTCTGAACGAGTTGATGACCTTCGTCTGAAAGAGTAAAAAAAGTGCAATGATACACCTATGAAAAATGACTCAAAAATGGTCCGAAAATGAAAGTATCACTCGAACTGTAGACTAAATATCATACTACTCGCTCTGGATCATAAGGATGTAAGCATAAGAAAAAATGAAAAAAAGCGAAGCTATTAGCTAAAGCATGGAACAAAATAAATAAACTAGACGTCACCATCAGAATATCCCGTCACAATCATGCAAATGTGAAATAATAAGATACCAAAAGAAAAAAATACAAATGACTTACATTTTCTTCCAGCAACACTGCCGGTGTTTCCCCGTCAGAGTAGTACACTACCCAATCAAATTGCTAAATTTGTCTACTCCTTCCATCCATCCGTCCTGAATCAGACCAATTGAAACCACAAAATACCAATCAGCATCACATGACAGCATCTCTATTCAGAACACACGCTGGATTCCAGCAATGAACACCTGAACAAACTGAAACTCTGGAAGCAAGTAAACCTCGACAGTACAGATGAAGCCCCATGAAATTGAAACAGAGTAGAAAGGAAAATATCTAAAAGCCATAAGAAATAACCATTCATACCACTCACATCAAATTATATTTTTCCTCATTAAACTAAAGCTGGTTTTGAACAGCCCCACTCGATCGCTTGCTTCAGAAACTCATCAAGGATATTAATTAATGACGAAGAATATACTATAACAAGCCTTCGTGGTAGTGACTGCCAGTTTATAAGTACTAACCTTGCTCCAACGCCCAAATACAAGCCGTCCTGCACACAAACAAGTCACTGCACACATGAAGAAGACTTTGAAAGCACCAAATGGTGAAAGAGAACTCGAAAGACAAATGATCGAGACTATACAAGTGTACAAGAAGGAAATACCATCCTGTGGCCACCCCAGCCCCAGCTGATGATGATGCCATCTCAACACCTAAAACAATTTTCTTCCGAGGAAAGGCGATGGGGCAGAATGAGCGAGATGAGGAATTTATATGCAAGGGGGACCCCATGAAATCGAACTTGAGACGGCTCTCAAATTCAATGATCTATATTGCAATTTGAGAGTACCGGCTCCTACAGGGGATCACCATAGTGGCGGTGGAATATATGGAGGGAGAATAAACAAAATGAAGCAGGGGGACGTAATAGACAAAACAAAATATAAATATAAATAAGTCTCTTGCCTTATTGTAAGGTCTCGATTTGCTATTTTTATTTTTTTAAAATTCTCATTATCCGATGTAAAAATAAAAACAAAATAAAAAATAAAAATTAGCAAAGGACAAAACTTCACATGGTCTTTACGCAGCAACACTTTGGGTTCTCGTACTGAAAACGTGATTATCACTGTAGCATTAATTAAGCTTCGACTAGTTGAGTTGTCTATCTCTTAATTTAAGACGAAGGGGGCATAAAAGTGTTCGTTCAACGCCGGCCACCGGGTTTTCTCACAGGACCGGCGTCCTCTTCATCAGACTGAATGTCTCCGTATTGCCACATTCCTCGTCGATCTGTCCGTGCTTCCTCTTGGTATCCTTCTAAACTTCCAAATGCAATTTGTCTTTCCTTGGATTCCCACTTCTTCCTTTTCTCTAGTCTAGCAAGTCCTTCCTGAAAATCCATGGCAGAAAAAAGTATTAGCAATCTGGGCCACACATCTTCAATAAATTCTCGTTCTAACCAAATAACAAACATATTAGGATTACAATCCTGAGAATATTTTCAGCTCATTTCTAATATCCCTAATATTCTGTATGCTTGGTGAACAATTATTCTCTAAACAAAAGAACTGATGAATAGCATATATATACATTGCATCTCTAATTATCTTCTCCCAATTACCCCGCCGTTCTAGTATTTTCTACTTTGACTGCAATCAGGGTTGTTGATCCAGATAATGAAGATGAAATCGCAAGAATTATGACAGACTATTGAAGCGAGAAATATAACAGAGGAAATTAAATTGGGAAACAGGGACATTATTCGAACCTGAAGCATCAACGCATTTAAACTATGCTCCGATCCAACAGCAACAAGAGTGACAATAAGAATATTCCCAGTTCCCTGTCCTTTAACTTTTCCCCCAGAAGTATCCTTTTCTTCAATTGTGGCCACAAATTCCGTTGCACCATTAAGCATGTAATCACTCAGATACTCAGCTGCTTCCTGACCAAAATCCTCATCCAGACTAGGAACCTTGATGTGAGCAAGACTACACAGCTGAGCGAGACCAGGGGCAGAAGACATAGAAGGATCAACGGGACGTAGTCGACCATAAGGTACAGCCTCTTGATTTCCAAAATCTATATAGAACACTTCGAACATATCTTTCAGGGATTCAGCAGCCCCTCGAGGTGTATTGATAATCTATGACAAACAAGTTAAGAACAAAGCAGACCGGAGTCAGGACTCTAAAAGAAATTGTCGCCTGTGATAATATAATATAGCCATAGAGAACTGATTCAATTCAACGGACTTTATACAAATAGAACTAGAAGTAGCAGTACTGAACATTGCTGCAGACTGCAAATTGAAGTCCAATCTAACTGGAAAATTAGCACACTTGTTCATGGTCTAATTAGTAATTGACATGTCTGGAAGTGATTTAGCACTATGTCTGTCATCGCCAAAATCTCTTCAAGATTGCTTCTTCAATTTTAAAATGGTGACGTTTGGCCACGGAGGAAGATGCTTTTTTTATCAAGTTTTTTTTCTCTATCCAAAATTCGTCCCTTCTTTCTAACTTTATTCTCTAGCTAAAACTTATATCTAGTTTTTCTTATATCCTCTCCAAATTTTTTGTCCTACCCCAAGTTCATTCCTCCCTTTCAATTTTAACCCTAAAAAATTCTCCCTAATTCTCTGTCGTTATCTACTTTTCGTCCCTTATTTCCTTTTTTTTCCTTCCTCAAATAGTCCCTTCCTTCCCTCTAAAACTTCACCTGTATTCTTATCTCCAACCTTTTTTTCCCTAATAATTTTTGTTAGAATCACTATTGAGAACAAACATTATTTTCTTAAAAAACATTTTTTATTAAATTAATATCAACTCTAAAAAATGAAACCGTTTGAAATGATGAACAATTAAACAATTTACAGAAGTAATTATAATTAAATCCCTTCAGCTAAAAACACACTAAAACCACTCATAAATATAGACCCTAACTAGGCAAACACAGGATAACGATCTTCTATAGGTAACCTTCCTAGCATCCCAGAGATCAGTCCCTAACTAGGCAAACACAGGATAACGATCTTCTATAGGTAACCTTCCTAGCATCCCAGAGATCAGTCAGCGAAGCCCTTGCATTTCCTAAACCTCTTGGGACACTAGAGAGAAAACAGTATGCTGCAAAAGTCAGCAACTAAAGTCTTGCCGTCCAATTCTATAGAACACATTGTTTTTCTTCATCAAAGTAAACCACGAATATGACATTTAAATAATTGGTACAAAAACCCCAAAAGGCGAAGCTGTAAATCATCACCAATGCAGTACACTTGCGAGCTGATTCTTTTATACTCAGAATTCTGCCCAACTATAAAACCAAGTGACCCGAAATTTTTTTATAGCTAAGATACTAGTGGGTTATTTGGTGTCTTGGATAAATGAGCACACATTATGTTTTGATCTTAGTCTATAAATGAATTGTTTGGTAATCATATTACTCAATGTGTATAGCTATCATTCCATAGGACTACCTTGCAGAAAAAATGAATGTACAGAAAGTTCATATTGAATGTAAAAGAAAGCTTCTTCCAAACACTCACCATTGCCCTGTTCCACGAGTTGTCTGCACTAAATTGAGCAAGGACGATATCACCTTTCTTAGGACTAAAAGCACCAATTAAAGGGACTTCTTGAAGATTCAAAGCCGCAAGCTGTTTCTGCAGAGAAGTGACCTTTTGGTCCCCAATTGTCTGGACATAAAATTTGCCACCACCCAACACCTCAGTGACAATTACCTGAGCGAAGCAATAGAATAGGTGAGAAGCAACAGCAAAAAGAAAACGGTTTCTCAGAAACATCCACCACATCCAAGGTGCATACCTTAAGCACTTCTTTCTGTTTGCTTTCAACAGCTGCACCATTGGGCACTTCCTCCCCTTCAACATAGTTCTCCCAGATCTGCAAAAACTCAAATCAGCATGATCTTATATAGACATGACTCATTCACCTTTGTCAACGTCTAACCTTGAGCTTCTGACGCTTAGCAGATCGTTCTGCTTGTTCAAGAAGGTGAGCATCAGGCATTCTATCACTGGTAAAGGAAGTTTGAATCTTTGCCAAGCCAGCCTCAACTAGAACCACTGCCATATTGGTCCTCGCTTCCCATAGGGACCCCAAAAAGGTTCCCGTTCTATCAACAGTTTCCACTTCAATCTATGCAAATGAACCCTTTTAGATCAATGGCATTGAAAGAATCTACAAAAATATTGGAAAGGGAAAATACCTCCACATCTCTCTGCATTATCTTCCGCCGCATTATGGCAATTGCTTCATCTGAATATGGTTCATCACGACCAGGACATCTCACACCTGAGAAAGCGAAAGCAATGCTACACGTCTCCTTTGGAATCAACAATTTGAAACGGTGACCACTGAGAACATATTCAACAACAGCTGGAATCCTCCTACTCCGGTGTAGGAATGGTAAAAAGTCTCGGGATTTTTTGGCTGGTGCCTGCAAACACACACATGATACTTTGAATTCATTCAATAAGGTAAAAAGTTGTCATTGTTAAAATTGATAAAAGGATAGAAGAAATTTAGCATGGTAGATCGTCAAGTTTCATACTGTCAGAAGGTCTGTCACATGCATGACAGGAGGATCCTTGGCAGAATGAATCCCTTTCTTTCCAGCAATAGAACGCGATTCAGCCGCAAGAAGTGCATCATAATAGTTCGATCTCTCCTCAAAATCACGATGCCTAATCACAGTGCCAAAACCACGTGATACCACTAGCTCAGCCACATTCACCCCAGCTTGTTGGCCACTACTGTCTTGAGCAGAAGTGTCCTCATCCTCAGCCTTAGTAGAAGACAACAGAAAGACAGATCCAAAATCCATCACTCTAGAATCTGGAGCAGTTGCAGGTCCCTCCACCATGCTGACCTTCCTAGAATACTCCATTTGGACTTTAACCTAAAAAGAGAATTGTGATCTCAAATTACAATTCACCCCAGAATCATCAGAAACAGACTAGTAATTAATACCATACTTGTCGACCAATGAGGCGTGTTCTTAAGAACTCTTTTGCTTCACGGGCATAAGGAGCAGGCTTCTCATCCCTACGGGGATTGCCCATTTTTGGACACCTAATACTTGATAGGTTGACACGTCTCTCTGCCAATGGACTACCATATGGAACCGAGTCATCAGCCACAATAATGCAGTCACCGCTTACAACTTCTACCACCTGCAAAATGCCAAGATAAGATGATATAAAATAAGGAAAAAAAACCTTAATTAAGTCTATCAATATTATAGACTAGTTGACATATAATTACCTTCCCCATGAAATTCTGATCATGAATTGCCTTTGAATTCGTTGGTGGAGGTACATAGTTAGCCCATAATCTTAGCCGGGTTTTCTTCGCCTGTAGCTCTGCAGCCTTCAGCCGTCGCTTAGCATCTTCTTCCATCATGTTTGCACTCCACTCAACATATTTAGCTAAACCCTGGATTTAATTAGAGGGGGGGGGGGGCATGAGGTATTCCTTTGAATATTTTTATAATATCACATATCTCATTCAAAAGAAATTGATTAAAAAAATGATTAAGAGAACAATGCAGTAGCTGGGATTAAAAAAAAAAAAAAAAAAGTCAAAAGACTCCAAGTATAAATCTCAACTAGGAAAAGAAATATATAAATGCATAAGAAAGTAACACAAGAACTGTAGACTGAAATATCATACTACTCTGGATCATAAGGATCTAAGCACAAGAAAAAACGGAAAAAAAAAAAAACCAAGCAATTAGCTAAGCATGGAACAAAATAAATAAACTAAACATCACCATGAGAATATCCAGTCACAATCATGCAAATGAGTACTGTTAAGATGTACCAACAGAAAAAAATACAAACGACTTACATTTTCTACCAGCTCCAGTGCCAGATCTTTCGCTGTTTCCCCATCAGAGTAGTACACTGACCCAATCAAATTGCTAAATTTGTCTACTCCTTCCAGGACAATCCGGACCTGTGAATTCATCCAGAATCAGACCAATTGAAACCACAAAATACCAATCAGCATCAGATGACTTACATCTCTATTCAGAACACGAATCTCTGTAAAATGTTTGGCTTCGACTCCAAACGTTTCAGGAGCTACTTCACCAGATGATGTAGTAGAGACAGCAAGCCTTTGTGCAGAAGTTAAAGAAGCTCTTGGTTCAGCTGAAACCTCACCATTCAGGTCATTAGAGGAATTGTCTGTTTCAGCAACGGTGTCTGGAGGAGGCCTTCTTCCCATAGATGGTGACTAGAAAAGCAAAATAACATGGAACCTTAATCCTGAAAAAGGTTTGCTCTGAACTCGAGAAAATTTCCTCATCAATAGGCTGTTACTCATAACATTTACTACATACCTGGATTCCAGCAATGAACACCTGAACAAACTGAAACTCTGGAAGCAAGTAAACCCTGACAGTACTGCCATCTCGAACCTGCTCAACAATTCCCTCCATTGGCTTCCCTTTGTTAGCAGCTAACAAACCCATGGCATCCAAGTTATTGGGATCACCAATGGCTGACGGTGGTAAGTTTCTAATGGATGCCTCAGCGGAACCAGGAACCTAAAGAAAGCAATAAGAGTAACATAAATTACATTTTTTATACTATTATACAAAAATCTTCTGCAAGATATACAAATGCAAGACCTGCTAAAATCTGTTAGCTCAGACATTGAAGACTGCATAAAGATCACAGACTAAAAATATCTATTCAGAACACGATGGTTTATTATATTATCATTTCATATTCCTAGAGTCCCTTATTCTTATGTACGGCATTTATCATTTAGCATGGCCAACATTTTGAAAAGTGTAAATTTTGCAAAAAAAAAAAATAATAATAACGGATGAAACCCCATGAACTAAATGCAAAAATTGAAACAGAGTAGAAAGGAAAATATCTAAAAGCCATAAGAAATAACCAATTCATACCACTCATTTCAAATTATATTTATCCTCATTAAACTAAAGCTGGTATTGAACAGCCCCACTCGATTGCTTGCTTCAGAAACTCATCAAGGATATTAATTACTAACTCAAAAGTGACAAAAGAATTATTTAATGTGGACTACGACTTGGAAAACAAATTGTAGTAGTGACTGCCAGTTTCTAAGTAGTAACCTTGCTCCAACGCCCAAAACCTTGTTGCTTTGCTTGGTCTTCGAGACGCAGTAGCTCTGCAAGGTAAGGGCTCACTTCACCCTTCTGCTGACCTTGCTCCCTTACCTGCGCATTTATAATTTCAATAACACCAAGGAAAAAATGCAGATAACAAAAGTGGACAACTTTAACCTCAGAAAGTACATAACCTTAGCCCAGCCTTCAGAAACAACAAGTGCAGCAATATTCTTGTCACCAAGAAAAACAGAACCGAACTCTCGACCAATGGATGGCACAGTATAGTCCACTCTAAAGGCAACCTCCTACAGGAAATATGTACTGTTACACCACTATAAGACAAAGCATCTTCTCGACCTAAGAAGCGCAGACACTTTAGTTCGGCTAGCGTTTCCGTGTTCAATTTGCGATGGACACTTGGATATTAAGACACTTGTTGGATATGTGTCAGACGCTTGTTAACGCAATAGATGTGTTAGACACTAGTTGTACAAAGTCGAGATAGATCCAACATTGGCCAGACATGCATGAAACACTTGCTAAGTATACTAAATAGGCACATATATTACAAAAATAATAAATTTTGAGAGTCAAATACATCAAACTAATTTGTTTTACTTTGAATTTGTTTCCTGACTAAAATTTTTACATATTCTAAGAAATGTATATTTTAATAAATGTGTCCGTGTCCTAGATTTTAAAACAATGATGTGTCATCGTGTCCAAGCTGATACATTCCAAGCAACTTTTGAAAAAAGACTGAAATCATTCTAGAATAATAACCTTTCCAATGCATAGCTTTCGCAAGTATTCTCTACTTTCCCATGCAAATGGCTCATCAACACCACCCCGTCGAGCCTGAAAATGTTCAAGCATCCAAAGCAAAATAGCACAACGTCAGCATTGATTTGTACAATATTATCTAAATTTACAGCTACCCAAATAGTAAAAGAAAAAGAAAAGGAAGGTCTCAATAGCTATTACCTATTTCCCCAACCCCTTGAAATTATAAACCCCACAAATCCAGAACTCATAAAGCAATCAACCTTGCTATCTACATGTGTACATATATACTATAACAAGCCTTTGTGCACACAAACAAGTCACCGTACACATGGAAGACTTTGAAAGCACCAAATGGTGAAAGAGAACTCGAAAGACAAATGATTGACTATAGAAGTGTACAAGAAGGAAATAAAGCTGAGTCGCTTACCAATCTTGGAGCGATCAGAGAAGATAAAGTAATGGTCTTCTCAGGAGTGGGTCCCGCTTTGCTGCTAGTCATGGCCGTAATTACCAAGCAGTCCCCTGACGGAACGGCTTTAACCCTGCCTCTATACCATCCTGTGGCCGCCCCAGCTGATGATGATGCCATCTCAACAGCTAAAATAAATTTACCCACAAGAAGTA